GGGTTCTAAGAGACAATATTTTTTTGTACACCTATAGAAGAAATATATTTTTTTCTCACTTGATGGCTGGAAATATACCTTCTACCTATCTTCCAAGCTAGGATTTTTTTTGCACTATGCCTGGGAAGATTTTTTTTCTCCTATTTTTTTTCTGGGGATAATTTTTTTTTGGTTATGCCCCCCAATCACTTTTCTAATGGTCCGTCCCTAAAATGTGGCATAATATTTGCTGCGTTAGTCTGTCAGTGTGTTAGGAATCATAAGCTTTGGTACTACTCAAAAATATTGTCCTCATGACGCTCGTGGTGCACGTGTTTTGCGCATGCTTCAGAGCACCAGCACAATATGGAAAAGTCATTTGAATCTTGGCGATGAATTTCCGAACCCCACGGTATATCAATGTGAATGTATATGTATGTGAAAACCCCGCACTTGATTACAGATTTCCAGTTCACTTTTTATACATTACTCTGTCTCGGACTAGGGTACATTTTGATAGACGTTGGACAAAGTTACAGTTAGGTCGAACACCAATTCCCTTGGACAAACAATAAACCTCAGTTTCACCTGGTTTCCTCTACACCTCGGACAATTTCACAAATGGGTTGGACAATGTCCATCACCGGAAATTGAATGTCAGTCATTCTGAAGTGAATTGGACGTGCTAGTATCCACCTCAACAGTATTCGGCAGAAGATGTACTTTGTCACCTCGCCAGGGCTGTGTCCTGTCTTGTACTATAACAGCCGGCAGTTGATCGTAATTAATGATGAGTGTGCCTAAAAATAGAAAATATGGCCGATTGATTTTGAACGACAGCTGTTGATTGTGAAAACAGTTTATTAAAAATGCGGCGTCAAACTGCAACAAACACTGGCGAGAAACAATCAATATTTCACAATGCATGCACACGCCCTATCCACACGAAAAACAAGGACAAACTCAGTGGTCAATGATATATCATATTGCGACAGATTAATTGCTAACAAACATTAGGGACGGGTCATTGTTTATGGCGTGTGGTGACACCGAAGAGAAATGTTTTTCTTGGTAAAAAATTGCTGATCCAACCATTAAAAAGTCAAAAACATTTTTTACCTAAGCTCAAATATAAATTCAAAAATAAATGCCCACCCCTGGCCACAAAAACGTCAGTTGTCACACATGTCCTTTACCACTTCTGCGACATGAGTTTGAGAAGTGCTTGTGCAATTTTCTGCAATTTAAAGTTTAATGTTGTCTGCACATGTACTTTCTTTGGAGACACCATTGCCTCCTGACAAATCGGAAAATGGTCAACGGATAGTGACTCTGATGATTGATTGATTTACATATTGTATTGGCATATATGACTGTTGACCAAGGACTGTTGACATTTCTTTTTAGTCCTTAATATTTGAGTGAGTCATGCTTTGGAAATGTCAATAATTTTTTATTACCCAACCCTTGAGTTGTTTTGTTTTTCATTTACCCAACCTTTTACTCACTCAAAATTTGGTTTATACCCAACCCTTTTCTCTTCGGTGCCACCCCCCGCCATAAATAATGACTGGTCCCTTAGTTCCTAATCTGCTGTTCAAGTACACTCGTTTTCTGTTATCCACAACCTAAAACAAAAATTTATTTCAGGCCAGATCGTGAGAGTTCCACAAGCTACGGAGGCACCCGAAGTAAAGAAAGTGACTTTCCTGGATCGCCTTTTTGGTTTCCTCGACAAGGAACTCAAGCCCGAAGTAGAAAATTTCATCTCGAAAGGAAAAGATTACTTGGAGGAACTGGAACTTGAGAAGAAAGGAAAAGAGATTGTCGAAAAAGCCAAAGAGTAAGATGGGGAAATCATTTGTTTATTTATTTATTAACTTAATTACGGCCTTTCATACATGAACAAATAGATGTTAAATTTAAGAGTATACACATAGCCATAGGTGAGAAAACGTTTGAAGGTATCAAGCATACAACTCACCTGCGACAACGTAAGCGAATTGTGTGCTTGATTCACACAGTACAACTCAAGTTGTAAGCAGGTTGCATGCGACAGTTTTAGGAAAAAGTTGTGGAGTGCAAATTGACCTTAAGAGCAACAAGTTGGGTTGTACTGTAAGAGCGATACTTGGAACGATAAGTCTTCCAAGTGCGCATTCGATTGACGGCAAAGGTGGATTCACGTTTTGAAAAGGTAGTGAGAATACACATTGTGTTTGAAAGAGGAAATAGAGATACATTCAATGATATGAGGGGGAAGACTGTTCCAAACAAAAACAATCCGGTTGAAAAACGAGTCTCTAAAAAGAGAAGTCTTGCAAAGAATAGGAGTTAGATTCGTAGTTCAAACATGAACCACGATAGTTTATTGTATAGAATCTTACCTACACTAAAGCCCACATTCGAGATCATGAAAATATTGCCTAGTTGTGCGTGGCTAAGTCTTTCGTTGTTACTTTTCCAGGTTTGTGGACACCACATCCAAGAAAATCTGGGAAAACCTGGAATTGGAAAAGTACTCCAAGCTTTTCCAAGAAAGATTGGAAGATGGCAAAAAGATCGCTGAAGAAATCCGCGAGCAAGTTGAAGAATTCCTTCGACAATTGCAAGAAAAAGCGAAAGAACTGAAAGGCAGGCTTCCTCAGACCTTGGTTTCGTTGACGAAATTGAACCAGGAGATGCAAGAGCGAGTCAAGACGCTTCAGACGCAAATGGAAGATTTACAAGCCAAAGCGAACAAGGCTTACCAAGACGGACAAGAGAAAGCACTCGAGCATATCGAAGAGCAACTCGAAATGGTCAGAGGACAGTTGAAACTTGCCAAAGAGCAAACCACGGTAATTAATTGCATTCAATCAAAACCCGGTCATGCAGTTTTGAGTACATTCGTCTGATTCAGATGTTTACTTTCAAGGTTTTGAAAGGAAAAATCGAAGAATATTTGCGCGAGTTGAAACTTAAAGGTGAAGAACTCCGAGAAAATGCCGAACAACAAGTGGAAGAGTTGAAAGACGTGGCACAGCAATCATTCGGCAAGGTATGTAGACTTGTCATGCAGCTACCATCATCACCACCATCAAACGATAATTACCACTATCATCATCATCACCACCATTCATCATGATCAGCACCATCGTCGTCATCATAACCATGATCATCACAATCATCACCACCATCATAATTATCAGCACCATCATCACCACCCTTAATAATCATCATCACCACCACCATGATCATCACCACCACCATAATCATCACTATTGCCATCATCATCACCATCGCCACCATGATCAGCGTGACCCAATATTGATTTAGTCATGGACCATCTTTTCTCTAAATATACTCCCAAGGTGAAAGATCAATACAAAATCGTGAAGCAAAATGTTGAGGAAAATATCGAGAAAGCCAAAGCGAAATTCGAAGAAACAAAAGAAAAAGCGAAAGAACATATCGAGAAGCTGAAAGATCAAGCAAAAGAAATCAGGAAGGACGTGGAAGCAAAGGTCAAAGACTATGTCGAGAAGCTCAACGACACTGTTTTGGACATGAGGGAAACTGTCTTAGGTCATGTAGAAACACTTAAGGTAAGTCGAAGTCATAGGAGATGAAAACAGTAGACTAAAACCCCGTTTACAGTACTACGCTCAATTTTTGGACTACCTATTTAGCTAAGCCCCGTTTACATTACGTTCAACGTTCAATTTTTGGTACCGTACCACTTTTTGGTTCTTAGATTACCTTAACAAAAAAGTGGTACGGGTACCAATTTTATCCGTGCCGTACCAAAAATTGAGCGTAGTATAAACGGGGCTTAAGCTAGCCATAACAACAGGTCATTCTGTGAAAATTTTGAATGATTTGCATTGTTCAAACCTTTAGAAATGTATTGTCTTTAACCTATTTAGATGCAAGTTTATTCAAGCATAGCATGACCAGTTGCCATGGCTATCTACGTCACTAAGACAGTTAAGACTGAAGGTCGAAACGAGAGCTCCTGAATATAATTTGTTCAGGGTCTCAGGGAATGAAATAATTTACGTACCAGAGCAGCGGTACATAATTGATGTACTCAAATAGGTCAACGTTAATTTGGTGTACGTTTTGAAGGTGATTGAAAAACGAACAAAGAATGGAGTGGACATCAGAGAATAGTTCAGAACTGATATAGCTATAGAGTTAAAAATAAACTTAGTTTTATCTCTCTCATATTAGGGGGGCTTCAGATTTGACTTCTACTACAGCCATCTCTCAGTTACCGGTTCTCACGCAAAAACGCACAAGTTTTGACAAACCTGCAGCAAATTTGTAGCAATGCTGTTCCAACAACTTGTCAACTGGATGTGTTCGCACTGCTTGTTCCCAGCTTGTTGACAAGTGGTTAACGGCTTGTTGACAACTTGCTATAAGGTTGTTGAGCTCAACAGACTTGTTCCAATTTGTTCCAACAACTTGTTGTCGTCCTGCAATTCAACAATTTGTCAACAAGTTGTGCGTGACAACGTTGTAGCAACTTCATAAAATAACAGCGTTGTTCCAACTTGTGGACAAGCTTGCTACAAGCCTGTTGCGAACACATCTTGTTGACAAGTTGTGAGACTTTTACGTGTTTATAACACGGTTAAACCGTTGCTATTTAAATTCCTAGAGCAAAGCCACCGATTATAAAGACACCTTGGAAGATAGATTTGATGAATACAAAATCAAAGCTAACGACATGAAAACGACCATCACAGAGCACGTGAACAAATTAAAAGACAACATGAAAGAAGTCAGAGAAACCGTTGTTGGTCACGTGAAAAATTTCCGCGAAAAAGCCGACGACCACGTGAACAAATTGGTGGAAAAGGCCAAAGAAGTGAAAGAAAGAGTAGAATCCGAAATCCAAAAGCGACCCGGGAGAATTAATTAACTATTTCTCGACAGGCCCCTATTAGCATATAACACTGGTGATATTTGACTTTTAAATGCAATGTAGATGAAAATACCACCATTCGATTCAGTGAAACAATATCTCACATAATAATTCATATCGATATTTTTAGTCAAATATAGTTTTAGTCAAATTGTATAGCTATTTATGACCTTTTGAGAGGTCAAGCGGTATCATATTTCATTATATTATTTAACTGTCTCGACTCTCGAGCAATGTAAACTAGCCATACCTTTCGCTGAACATAACTTCGGCCCCTTTGGACATATCGTTTTTGCTATAATCTTTTTCGAACCAGGATCCAAAACGCTATTTAGAGTATATTCTTTTTGGTTTTTATAATGACCAATAACAAGGCTTAAATTTTAAATTTAATTTAATACGACGTTTTGGAGTTTACTCCATCATCAGGTTTTAATTTTTCACGGACGCGCAATTTATGTGCTTGCGCAACCTTGCACGCGAGCACATAATAGAAAATAAACACTTTGATATTATTAGGTTTATTTTCTATTCTGTGACGCGAGCATGCAACGGTTAAAGCGTTGACGTTTATTATAGTTTTAACGGTTTTAGATCGAAGATTGTAGTTTTTACCTGATGATGGATTAAACTCCGAAACGTCGTATTAAATTAAATATTTAAGCGTTGTTATTGGTCATTATAAAAAACAAAAACACTAATATATCGATACTAAATATACTATTGTAATGTCAGTTCGCCGATAGTGCAATCGGGTGCAGGCGATTTAATATAGGCTACATATAGCAATATATTTCGCTTATTTGTGATTATTTTCGTTAATTTTAGAATTTCACTGCAGTTTTAGACCGGCTGCCGGTCATATAGTCACTTTGTTAATTTAAATCCAGTCGTCTAGTGGGCTCACTGGGCTGCCCAGGCCTGTGGGCTGCCTATGAGTATGATTACATCTGCAGCGTGATTCCACATGCATCGGGCTTTACGGGTTCTCATTTTAGCATGTGCATGCGCGTGCGAGTAAAACCCCGATAAAACCCAATATTTTGAAAAATTCAAAATAAACATTTCTACTCGCCGTATTCAAACGAAACTTTCTACATAAAAGTGCTTGAATACAAGGAGTATTTCACTCATATTGACTTGTGGCGAATTCTGAAGAGTTTAGAAGGTATTCAATTTTTTCTCGATACGAAATACAGAATATTTGGCCAAGCGGTGAGTAAATATGATTGTTTCGGTTTGTGTAATGTTCTGACGGCATTGGACCCCCCGCTGGAAAGGTTATTTTATTAGGATTTCAATGGTCTCCTTTGTTTTAAAGGGGGGTGAATACGCGCTGAGATATTTACGTTATAAACAATCGAATCGTAAAATGTCAAAATGTCGCTTGTCGATAAAGATTTAAGGAATGTTTAATGTCAGTCATCATCATCATGATAGTGGTGGCGATAGTGATCATCATCACCACCACCATCATCATGAACATGATAATTATCATCATCACCAGAGGTATGCTTGAAATAGGGCCTGCTACTGAAGTCAATAAAAGTGGACAGTGAGTGATTTGGATGCACAAAACTAACAACCAATCAGAAGGCGATGTTAATTAGATTATCAAAGCTAATTTAAAATATGACAATAACGGCCAATTTTCCATCAACATCTCGAAAATAAATATTCCAATTTTCATTAAACGGCCAGGAATTACATACTAAACAATAATGACGGTTATTGACCATGCTCCTAGACAGCTAAGGCAGTAATTTATAACACAGCCAAAAATACAATTACAAGTACAGAATATATTACGTAACAACTCGATATTACCTTACTGAAGGCAAGGCTATTTATTTCTGAACAATGGGAATTTTGAGTACGAATCGTAGCATAAATCCACTTTTTTTATTGACTTCAGTAGCAGGCTTTATTTCAAGCATAGAGCCTGACATGCAGGCTACTTTCAAGGTTAATAACCCATTGAAGGCTACCTGATGCACCCATTGAACTATAAATAATTTATTTATAGTTCAATGGATGCGCCCTACTTTATTACTTTACTCTGTCTAACACCAGACAATTTTACTGGTGAAGGGGAGAGTGCTGGCGCTTACTTAGCCTGCATGGCAGGCGGTATTTCCCAGGCTTGCCCAATTTTAGGAACCGCCTGCCATGCAGGCTAGCGCTTACTGGGTTAAGGACACCATATTTAATATGTTTTCACCATTGTGTTTATACCCCTTGCAAATTTACCTATAGGGAATTCCATTGTGTTTGCACCCCTGACTATTGTGTTTCATACTTTCATTACATATATATGGCGTCTTGACCTTGAAAGAGTCTATGTGGCCCCAAGTTCCCAACATTTCCAAGCTTGACACCTAGCGGCGAAGTTCAATTAAGTTCCACACAAGTAGTGATGATAGCTGTGGTTGTTTTAAATCTTTCACAGTATAAGCCGAATAATTCGGTTAGCACTTTTTTCCATCCAGCAAACCGCCCTATCGATTTTCTAAATTCTTTTTTTTTCCCATTTTTTATTAATTCGGTTAGGGTTGCAGTTAGGGTTACCGTTAGAGTAGGGGTAGGGTTTGGGTTAGTTACATAGCCATTTAACACCTCTTCCATCTTCCGAAAATGACGTCAGGTGAGTTTGCTGGATGGAAAATAGTGCTAACCGAATAATTCGTGTCACTCACGAGTGAATTTAACTCCGGTTCGCCGTGTTTTCGCTGGCTTGTTTTTGTCTCCATGTAAAGGAAACACAATACTTCAATTCTGTGGAAAAATGGCCGGTTCTCCTGCAGAAATATGAAGTTTATTCAGCAGAGAAAACTAAAAAAATTAAAATCTATTTTTGCCACGCTTTTCGGCCATATTTTGATCACAGAATAGGAAGTTATACCAGAAGCGTAACTCGAGCAAATATTTGTCCGCGTTTTTACAAGCGATTCGTCATCAATCACGCCATCCTGGCTAGTACAACCGGCACTTTGTACCTACCAAATCCTGATAAAAACTTCCGGCTGTACTAGCCAGGATGGCGTGGCCCGACGTGAGCGAGTTAAAATTTTCGTGGACGTCAAACAATAAGGGAAACGACTAGAGTTACGCTTCTGGTATAACTTCCTATTCTGTGTTTTGATTTTGAAGATTTTAAGGAAACACTTGGTGTAAGACAACTAAAGTGTCTTCGGTATCTGAAAGTTATAAAAATAGGTACGCAGTTCGTACGTGGGAGCTCGTCGAGTTCAGATAAATTCAGTCTAATCATATGGTCTAATTCGCTTTCATATTCAGTGAGTTCAGACACAAACCACGGGAGATTATTGTAGGATACTGCCTACACTGTAATCCCGCATTTTCCAGATGATCTTGATACGCGGAAAAGTACTGGCACTAGTTGTCAAATAGAAATCCATTTTATGATTAAAACAACTGAATATCTCCTGTAATATACTTTATTTCGATTCCATGTTTTTGTCAGAGCTGTAGTTCTCATAACCAAACATAATTACAAAATTTCAACTAGTTTCATAAAGAATAACGAAAGATATAATTGACTGAATACATCAAAATGGATTTCTATTCGGACAACCCTTTCTGAGCGCTGATTGGCTAAAATAAGAACACGAGATCACCTGGTTAGATAAGCATATTATCCAGTCATGGGCGTTAATTCAAGTAAACGGTCTATTGAAATTGAAGACCATTTACTGTATATTGAGTTTTGAATGTAGCAGCTTCCAAAATGTGTATATTTGATAGAATATCGGTTTGAATTTCTAAGGACCGACCCTGCATATTTTCATTATGCTTATTGACGTAATTATCTAGATTATCTCAGCTGAAGTAGGTGATGTGGGAGTTCGCGGGCGGAGAGAGCGTGTTTCAGTTGTTATCTGCACTGATTTGGACCAAAATTCAATTTATATTTAGAAAGCTGTGGATTAATAGGAGGGGATACAACTACCTGAAAAATACAAGCAGAATTTAGACGTTTCGAGCGAAGGTCCTTTGTCGCAAGCACTCATATGGCGAACGGTTAATTACGGAAAAATATTGCGCCATTATGATGTACAATATAAACAAGGATAGAAAAAAGATCTGGTTCCAAGGCCAGATTTATCCAAGGTTTCCTTTTGTCGAGAAAAGCCGAAGCGTCGAAGTTCTGCTTGTATTTTTCACGCAGTTCTCCTTGTACTGTTCAGGTCAGTTGCATTCCTTGCAAATCCGAGCGTATAGCAGAAGCTTTCGTATTTATTGTCACACCTGGTAATTCGATATATTGAAGTGTTTTCCATTTCTTAAATCGGCCCGCTTTTCCAGTCACTGAGACAAATTGGCCAGCCTAAGCATTCTTGTCCAGGAGTATAAAGTGTTAATATATTGACTGGTGTACAGGGTTCAAATAGGGTAAAAATAGATCATTTCATTCCTTCAGCATAAACTAAGGGTAAATATGTGCCAGTGTACATTCCCCGAACTGAGAAAGGCCAAGATAGTAAGAGATGAACTAGTAATTGAGGAGCAAGTCTTTTATAATAGGTCTTGAAAGTCTGTAACCTGAGTCTTAATACCATGCATGGTCTATACTATTTACTGAACTAAACAGTGAGTAAACACAGTTTATAGTTAATTTCTTACTTCAAATATTAATACACTATTAACCTTTCCAATGATCACCCGTACATTGAGCATAAGAAGAAATGTTCTTCTTGCTATAATTTTACATATTGTATCCAGGTTGACTGTAAATAATTGATTATATGTAATCTACAAATAAATATAACTAGCCCTAAATAAAAAGAAGATTTCTAGTAGGTCACTCAGTTCTATGAAGAACTCTAGAAGATTCAGTAGGTCTAGATTCTACAAGATTAGTAGGTCACTTCTAGCCCAAAACTCTTTAAAGTTATTGTAATATATCACATAGATTAATTTATTTTTTTATGGGAAAAATAAAAAAGGGAAAGAAAGAAGGTGAATTAATGTGCAGATGACACGGTAATCGGGATAAACACTATATCTAAACAGGGCAGGATTTCAACCACGAATTGACTACAAAAGTGGAGGAACAATACCGAGAGTACCGAGTAACTCCGAAAACGGTAGTCGAAAAATTTAGTCGAAACGTCGATTAAAGTTAAACACTTTTTAAAAGCGTTTACAGTTTCGGAGTTACTATTGTATTGTATTTCATTCAACAGAACTAACTTTTGTGAACTGCTTTTGTAGATTGAAATTTCGTCTGTAAATACTAAATTGTACACTTTTTTATAGGTCCTGCACGGGGTTTTACACCACTTTTAATTTTCCAACAAAAGTAAACTTCAGGAGGCATTGCAAGTGGTTTTGGAATTAGATATTTTTGCACCTTTCTGTTGTTGTTTATACATCATAATGGCGCAATATGTTTCCGTAAACATTGCCATATGCACGAGTGTTGATGCCAAGAGCAAAGTCCTCAAATGATGAAATGGAATTAACTTCCTTTTTAAAACAGTTTCACAGCAGTAAACTAATCGTTGTACTGATAACTGATGAACTTCGAACTATTACATAACTGACATAACTAACAATACAGCTTTATCAGTTCTATAAGTTCTAATCTGTTCTCCCCGGAGGTCCAGTAATGAGCCACTCTTATTGATTCATTGTTGCTACTCTGGAAGTAAACCTAAACTAAACGAACTTTATTTATACTGGATAGCTAGTTCATCAGTTCTAATCTGTCAGTCACTAGAGGTCCAGCAAGAGCCACTCTTATTGATTCAGTCGGTTAATACTACAGGAGGAAACAGGAGTCAAACTACGATTGAAGGAAAATTTAACCATATTGGATATTGACCACCAATATTGGTTGCTGTGTCTGGGAAATGAAATATAAGACACAAACTATTAAAACATTCACCTTAAACTATATAAACAGAGTTATAATATAAAACTGGAAATCAGTCACCCTTGAAATTCGAAAATGCTATCTGATGTGCAGCAGCGCACTTGCGGTATAGCACAATTATGAAAACTTGAAAGGAAATGCCATTCCAGTGAAAATCTGTTTCGTCTAATATTACAAATACAACTAGGGAATGACCACCTCACACCTCCAAACAAACCCTAAACTAACCCAATTTAACACACACAAACGCCCATTTTTGTTCCATCTAAACACCATTTGACCATAACATAAGTTTTGAAAACCTCTCTAAATGTTTTGCTGTCTTCTGCCTTTACATGCATAGCTTAAGCAAGGTTGAACACCCCTCCCCCCCCCCCCTTAGAGAACTATATATGGCATAAGACATTCAAGGTCACTGGGTGTTTATTTGATTATTTCAAAGCGAACTTTGTACTCTGTGGTACGCATTGAACTTAAAACTGGCTTCCTTACCAAAAACCTTGACAAAATCAAAAACTTTGGGAAATTTTGGGCGCAAATGTGCAAATTTTAACCAAATGCGTGCGTTGGGGTCTTGTTAGCGCAAAATGTTCTGATTCAGTCC